CATCATCATCTTCATTATCCATGCAAGCCATCTCCAAGCATTATTAGTCTTAAAGTGGGTTCCTCGTCATCGAATTTATCAGGGCTAGTTGTACATCAGCAAACCACCTGTCAGGTAAGGGCTATCCACAAAATTTGGGACAAAATATCTTTTAAGATAAAAAAAAGTTTGTTAGTTTTTGCCAAATGTGCAGCAACTTCTACAAAATAAAGGGGAATTTGAAAATAAGTTTAAAAACTAGAAGAAAAAAAAAGGGGAGTAAAATCAGGAAAATTAATACTATTTTTTTTTTTTGCTTGTGCAAATTATAGGTAGGCAGCATTTACTAATTAATTAATCAAACATTATTGATTAATGAGCCCACCAACTAATCAATCAGAAATAGCTGCTAATTTCCCAGTTCTAATAACAGTACTTATGATCATTTAAAACTCACAATTCTAACAAATCATCCATTTCATGTTTTAAAATTAATTATTGTTTAAAAAACACTTCTTGAAGAGACTTACAGTTCCCAGCATACAAGGACTCTCACGGAGAGCTCCACAACACCCTAGAAATCCAACCAAACTCATAAGAGATCCTGCAGCCATTAGGATGTAAATTGCTGTAAAGTAAATGTAGGTACTTTCATTATTTGTCAAGTACTCGTGACTTCCAAGGTACAGCCAGACCGCTACAACCAACACTCCGATTCCTGCTAGCTGAAAAAAGAAAATATAAGACCTAAAATACAAATCTTCAGCCCACGAACTTACAATTATTATTCACTGATAGTCAGAACACTGACATACATACATTCTATGCTTTTTCAGCCTGATGCCAATACATTGTTATATATTACAAATGAGTTAAAACAGGAATAACTTCATGTCTTATTGCAAGTTCAATTTAATGCTGTACAATCTTCTGAAATAACAACTCAACAACAGATTAAACATAAGTTGTACTAACTTTGCAATGTTAAGTTTTTACACTTCTGAGCTAAGTATACTCTACTTAAACAGAAATACAGTACTTCTGTATCATAATGTAACTACCCAAGGATCTCTGAAATATGTGATAAGGACAAATTCTGTGAACTTTCTTTTCACATTGTTTATTAACTCTCATATATAATCAAAACATTTCGATTTAAAAACACCAAAACATTTCATATATAAATCACTGATGAATGTGTAGGCTACAGAACAATTATACAGCAAATAAAAATAACTTTGATTTGTAAGTAACCATATATTGGTAAGTGCTTCCTATATGCTTTACTTTCAAATACAGTTCAAAATAAAGCATTTGTAAATATGGATTTAAAAACTTTACTCAAGTATCTGTTACTAAATAATAATTTTATTGTCAGTAGGTATATTTTGTTAAGTTTACACGCAGTATGAAGCTGTGTTTTTTGTTGTTTTGTTCCTTATCAGCATTTTTTGGTAAGCAGAACATGAATCGAGTACAGTTAGTACAAATGCTCTAATGACTCAAGTCTCAAACCGGATCATTACAAAGCTCTTGGGAAATGCTTTTAATCAGATTTACTGACCTGTATTCTTAATCTTGATCATTTTAGCCAACATTCTTTGTGGACAGATGTCTGAGGATTAGAGAGGTGCTTATGTTACCTTGAAAATTGAAGGCCACTTAGTCATACATTTGTAATGGAAAACAATCAGTGTCATACTGATGTTTGATGGAGCCCTGTGTGACATATAATATGGAGAATATGGTGGGTGGGTGGGGGAGAACTTCCCAACTCCATAATCTTGTGTTGCGTCAAATGTGCCACATGTGGACATGCATCATCGTGGAGAAGAATAACACCTTTCCGATTGACAAATGAAGGGCGTTTCTGATGAAGGGCTTGATTTAAACATTCCAGTTTCTGACTATATATCTTCGCATTGAGAGTTTGCTGTGGATTGAGGAGTTCGAAATGAATTATTCCTTTGATGTCTCACCAAATGCAAAGCATCACTTTCTATGGATGGAGTCCAGGTTTTGGGGTCAGAAGTGGTTTTTGTCTAGGACTGAGCCATTGTTTTTGGCATTTAATATTCGCAGAGAGAATTCATTTTTCATCACTGGTAACAATTGTGTTCAAAAATGGTTCACACGCATTAAATGG